TACATTATGCACATACATATTACACTAACAGGCATGTATCATGAAATATTAAATTTTGAAAATCAGAGAATAAAAGGTTAACAAAGTTAAAGTAGATAATGAAATGTTAGGATCCTCATATCTCACTTTATTAGGATCTAGACACACACTGTAGTTCATACTGGGTATAAAGAGACAATTATAACATTGCAGCCCTATAACCTCCGGGGCGGGACACTGCCCCACCACTGTGATAACTTCTAACCAGTGACTGGACACGTTATCAGCCTTGGTCTCACTGGCAACTGTCTCCTGGGTGATACCCCCAGTAGTTGTCGTGGTAACGGTGGTTGTTGTTGTGGAGTTTATCTTCCACCACCCTTCTATCAGCTGGTTGTTGTTGACAGTAACTTTGGTCACCACTGTTGCTTCCCCTTCTTTAGTGGTACCCTCTGTTACTTTTGTCGTTGTGACAGTTTGGTTTGCATCGTTGAAGTAGATTGTGTCGTTGGTGTAAGCGCCGTACGTACAGTTACACTGGCAGGTGGAGCTGAAAGAGAAAAGAGGGAGTGTTAGAGACTAACCTTGTTGGGGTCCAGACACGCACTGTAGTTCATACTGGGGATAAACAGACAGTTGTAGCACTGGAGTCCTATAACGTCTGGGATGGGGACATTGCACGTGCTCCAGGCCACGCCCCTCCCTGTCACGTCCCCTGTTACGGTGGAGGTGATATTGGTCTCTGTGGAGGTTCTGGTGGTGGTGCCTGCGGAGGTGGTGTCCTTGGTGATGGTAGTGTTCACCACTACCTCTGTGACTGCGTTGTTTACTGTTGTTGTGGTTGTTACTATGGTTTGGTTCAGGGATACTGTCCCATCGTCCCCGATGGAAGTAGCAGAGTCCGTAATCTTGTTGATAGAGGTTGAGTTAGTACCGTTACCCCAGATCCAATAGTCTGTGCAGTTGCAGGAGCAGGTGGAGCTGGAAGAGGACGCGATCAGGGAGGGGAGGGAGGGTGGCACGTGGGTGCGGGAGCGGCACGTGGAGTCATGCACAACCAGTTTTACAGCCTATTAAAATGCAAAATATACAAAACGGGTCTTAATAGAGCAGTGGGCGACCAAGTACTGTTCATGATTACCGAAATAGTATTATTCATAATTCCCATTATTTATTTCCTCTATTGTCTGATTTATTGAGCTCTAAATCTTGTTATAGGCACATCACTTTGGTCTAGCAACCACATGTGGGTCTCTTACCGTACCCTTATAAATATTCTGTTTCATCCATTTTCTTATATTCATGATTTTCGCTGTTCGTAATGAACGAATTTGCTGATAGTATAGATAATATGCGATTATGTTCATTTCAGAATTTTCCTCTCATCCCCAAACCTAAAGTGGAATTACTGTACTTTATCGGCCTTAAGTTTTCCGACTCAAAATAGTCCTTGTTTAACGAAAAACAGTTAGGGTGGGAAAAGCAAAAGGCCAGAAAACTGAGGGCCGATAGCATGAAATAAGGCAAACCGGCTGCACCTACTTTAAGGGGTAAAGAGTAGAGTTGTAGGCCGTGTAGTTGTGGATCTTAGCCTTGTATTCCTCCAACTGCAGGGCGACTGCAGTTTTGTTTACTGTTGATGTTTCCTCTGCTTTTTCTTCTGTTTTCTCTTCAGTTTCTCCATCTCTTTTTCGTTTCCGCTCTCCGGTTTTTTCCTCTTCCTTATTTTCTTCAGCTGGCTGAAAACATTGAAACAGTTCAATCAATGGTTAATTAAACCTTATTAACTCACCGGAGAAATCTTCACTAGTCTCTTTAGTTGTGCCAAATGCAGTCAGCACCAAGGAATGGAGGCAATGGACACATGTACCAGACAATACTGAGCCAATGATACTACTGAATAGAGACAACGGTCCATCAGGTTTCAGTCGCTGAAACGTCCAGTGGAACCGGCACGGGTGATGTTGCGTTCCTGATTCCCCCGCAATCCAATCCAGTCTCTTAAACAGAGCCTTAAAGACCCTAATTATAGCCCCTAATCATTGGTCTGTAGCAACACATTATAATGGGCTCTAATGGGCGCCATAATGGGATAATGGGGGAGATGGCTAATTGTGGTAGTTTTAATTACCACAGTACACTCTGTAGCTCTAGGATAGTACGGGCCGGTACTGTAGTATTGTTACACTATCCCAGGTTATAATGGACTAAAAGCAGAATCCGGGTTACATTTCATTATTCCACCTGTTAGCTGCAACTAGGCTAGGTGGGGTAATTCAGCCGCACATGCGTTTAGTATGTGCATGTATCGCGGTTACAATTTCGAAATCGAATTCGCAATTAAAGGAGAAAGGTGGGCTTGGCACAATAATTGTAATATTATGTCTTGAGATACGCAGTTGGGTTGACTATCCGTTGAACTTGCATCGTTTTCTGAATCTTGATAAAAAATCGTATAAACGTGCATTATTGAATCGCAATAAAATGCATCGTGAATGTCAGGATAAGACTGTTATAGTATTATGAGCAGTGCTTCTGGGAGTGTTCGCAGACGTACAGAGTAATGATTTGCTAGTTTACCAGCACTGCCGATTGTGCTCGTCCTAAGTCAGCAGCTTTAAACACAATCAGTAAATCCAAGGGTTCATTTGATAGAGATGATCGGGCGTGAATAAAGATTTAATCAGGCTATAGTTTTATCTAAGTGGAATTAACTGCAGCTTTTTCATCTCAATTATGAATTAAATAGAATGGCACTGTTTCTCACTAATCACTGCATTCACAAATCTTATCCAGCTATTTCACTTCTTTTCATTTCATTTCATATGGTGGTGCTTGCATATTCGTTACATTTAATTGGCATACTTTTAATTAATGAATAGTATTATGTTAGTTAACAATGCGATTGCTAACCTTAGGATCACAGTTCAAAGTCCATGTATTAAAGGTGGTGTCATCTGCACAGTGAGAGCCGTTCGGCAAGGCGGCTTTGTAGATGTTGGTGCAGTCACAGTACTGTGTCCCGGCCGCTAGATTACCTGCAAATGAACCGCAGTTATACCGCATTTATACCGCAGTTAGTCATGCGCTTTCACATAATTGACAGCTGTATTATAATGGCAGTGGGGCCGGGCGTGAGCTATAACGTGAGTTCAATAAGTTGGGTTAACGTTAATTATTATGGGTTAACGTTAATTATTATGGGTTAACGTTAATTATTATGGTTTAATTATGACATTATTAGTTTATCTACGCCTGACTTAAACCGAGTTTAATTTTTGTGACAACACGTTGATATCAGCTCCGTTTATTTGTCACTTTATTTTGAATACTTATTTCCTGCGGCAGTTCCATCACATATTTTGCAAACAATCTAAACAAGCTTTTGATCTGTGTTTCGGCCATTCATCATTTTATTAAAGCCAATAAAGCTTTTGATCTGGTTAACAAATCAAAAATCGCTTTTGAACCCGATTTGAGGACATCAGCCAACCGACTGGTCGATTTGTCCGAAGGTTTGCATTTAAATCTTCACAAGCGATCACTTTTTAGGTACACTAGCTGTTTCGATTAATTGTTGTCACTCAAATCTTACGCCAAGACGGCGAGACTGCCCAAGCTGCTTGATTTCTGTGGATTTAGAGACGAGCAAGTTTAAATTTTTACCAAACTCTGAGGAGTTCCACTGCAGATAAGCTGGTATATCCGGGTTAAGAGGTTTCACTTACTGGTTAGTACACAGAGCAACATTAAGCCGCATCCAGTGGTTAGGGCTAATTTTCTTAAGTTCATTTTAATAGAAATCAGCTGCCAAAGACTTTTAGATGCGGTCGTTTTGAGATAAAGACTCTGGGAAGCAGCTAGAATCTTCAGTTATCACAGCGAGCCAGGTCATTTCTTAGGCAGACAGAAAACATCACGTGGCATTGCTAGACGTTTCTAACGGTTATAGTTTTATACCAATCGGAAATCGAAACCCATTTGTTTTATACCGGTCGGAAATCAAAACCCATTAGTTTTGCGGCGAGTAAAAAAGAAATGATGTCGAATCAAATAAATAATTGCCTAATTAGATTAAAACATTGCAAGCGCACATGTTTGAAATTGGCTGGAGAGATACGAGAAAATCAACAGAAAACACTAACTACTGACATGATATGCTCAGAGTTGAAAATGTGCAAGAAATTTTTTCACATTTCCGTATACACAATACCTATTATCACGATTATTACTCTAATAACGATTGTAAACAAAGTAAAAACGATTACTTTTATACGTCGAAATTAATAAGACTTACAGTCATTCCTGAGTTTCTGAGTCAGGAAGTACGTCAAGAAGATCCATGATCCTCATGTTACAAAAGAATTAACAGCAGAGTTCCAGCGAAGTCCCAGATACACTAGGCCAAACCCAAAGATTTCCCATCGCATGCTGACAGTTTTAAATCGTTTTCCGCGAACAGCAACTGCGGTTGATGAGTAAGGGCTCGGTTACGGCTCGGTTGCGGTACATTACGTGGAGACTCGGCAATATTCTATCGAACCGTTTTCAGAGATTGTGACTCAGTTCTCTTTATTTGGTGTAATGCCGACTGGGTGAATTAACGAGTTTTATTGGCCGTGAGGTTGTGGTCTCTATATGGCTTTATCGTACGTCCAAGGCACGCACATAATTATTTTCAATAGAATTTTAGCCTATTCCGTTCTCAAAATTGGTTAAATTCTAAATTGAAGGCATTAATCGTCATTATTTTCAGTTCAGCCTTTTGTTCCGAGCGTAGTGCTGAAGCCGGACTTGCGAGGTCGAGTGCTCTAGCTAATTACTCGACTATCAATCTCCTAATCAACTTGGCCTACAAATCATGAATAGTAAACACAATAATTAAGAAAAGTAACTGTACTTTGCTGCAATCCCGTGTTCCCGTGTATTTTGATCCGGATAATGGATTATATCTAAGACACATCACCCTAAACAGGATTAATTGAGTATCCTGTCCACACAAGGAAGCGCAGTGTGATGTTGTTGATAAATTGAAGGTTTTCTTCGGACATCTGATAATTAATAATAATAAACCGTAATCTTCTTCTTAGATCTTCCTAGACGATTTCTGTTGTAGTACACGCTAGTGGTGGTACAGTGACCGCCTACATTTCCTCTATCTCTCTACTCTCCCACACAAACACACCAAATGGACAGAGCGGGCACCGTGTCACGTGGTACAAACCCTTTATTGAACCACTAGACTCTCTGTATACAACCTGTGTTACAGGCTGCACAGAATAACCTAGACTACAGCTCTCCCCCGGTGGTTCAAGACAGTATTGTTAGTGGAAATCAACTACCTGTCTGGTGCTTGCTACCTGGTAAACTACTTTACAAAAACGTCTCTCTGCGGTTATTTCAGTCCATACCATGAGACATCTTGTGTTGTTGGCTGCGTTTTGCTGGCTGGCTTCTCGCTGCGACCTAGATGTCAAGCTGCAACTCGTGGAACTGTTTCACAAAGTAATCAACCCTGATGTTATCAAGAACGCATATAAAAGAACTAAGAGTGTACCTGCGGATCAGGACCAGATTATAGCTCATGTAGCGGATGTCACAACTAAGGAGTTCAGTGAAGCGTCCAGTGCTATCAGAAACATTCAGAAAACAGCCGAACAGGCGTATCAGAAACACACATGGTCAAAAACCCTGGAGAATTCGTTCTGGAACGCCTTCACAGACCCTATCAGTTCAACTAATGGGTCTCATCTCCCTGTAACCTGGATTAACAGGTATAAAGGGAACGTTAGTTTGTCTTACTCGGCTGTTAACCTGCCCATAGACGTGTTCCCAAACTGGACTGATGTAAAGAACACTATTCAGTGGACCAAGGGGTTAAACCAGGCCTTTACCGAGAACTACCACCACAAACCAGTCAACATATTCTGGCAGTACTTGGGGACCCCTCAAGGGATTATGAGAAGTTACCCAGCTTCTTTTATCGAGGAGAAACAGAGGTTTACTTTCGATGTTCGGCACAGACCCTGGTACAATGAGGGTATAGGGTGTCCTAAGGATGTCGTGCTTCTTATAGATACTAGTGGGAGTCTGGAGGGGTTTCCTTCAAAGCTACTGAAAACTACAGCCAGGAAGATGATCGAGCTCATCCTATCAGACTCTGATTTTGTTGCTGCTATTGGAGTTGGAACGTCAGGTAATGTTGTTGCATATCTGAGTTTGTTGCATATTTCACTATGTTACGTAGACGACCTAATTGTTATTTGTTACGAATTCTAAAAGGATTAGGAATTAGAGTGTAGATCAGATTTCAGAATCTAGTGAAAATTTACTCAATATTTACGTCAGACTGTGTCAGAATGTGAGCATGAATAATTGCCCTGAATTAAACAATTTCTACCGTCAAGCAAGGTGAATATGTCTAATATCTTGCTGACAGTAACAGGAAACAGTCAATTAATTGCTCACGAACAAACAGTGATTAGCACGTAAATTGCTCTGCGCACAGCTGATTATCAGTTCCACAAAACTGCCCGTGACTTGTCACTGGTAGAAACGACTCCAGATCATGTATATTATATTATCTAACATCACATACATTTATTATTTATTATATCTTACATCACATATCTATTACATCTAACCTAGCATACCTATTATATCTAAACTAACATATCTATTACATCTAACCTCACATATCTATTATAGTATTATATCTATCCTCACATATTTATTATATCTAAACTCACATATCTATTATATCTAACCTCACATATCTATTACATCTAAACTAACATATCTATTACATCTAACCTCACATATCTATTATATTTAATCTCATATATCTATTATATCTATCATGAATCCTCACATATTTATTATATCTAACCTCATATTATCTATCAATTCTAACATCACCCTCTTCCCCAGCTCGATACCTGACCTGTAATGGTCTGCTCCAGAGGGCAGAACTCGCTGTAAAGAAGCGACTGACAGCAGTAATTGATGACTTTCCTCCGTCCGGGACCAGCAACTGGACGCAGGGGATCATGATGGCGTTCCAGAGTTACCAGAGAAGCAAGGAGGCGGGGCTGACGGCGGGGTGCCGCAGAGTCATGGTCATCTTCAGTGATGAGACCTCACAGGATCTTGACGTAAGTGGATACGTGATATCTTGACGTTTATACACTTTGTTAACTACCAGATATGAGGTGGCTTTCTATTTTCATCTCCACCCCAACATTCTCATCATTCTGATCGGTGCATGCTTTCAAAGTTGCAAGCTGCTAACAAGTCTCCAGGTCTCATGTTCTAAAGTTAATAATAGATGACGGTATGTAAGCAGGGGAAGGTAGCTGTGTCACGTGACGGAATGTAAGCAGAGGTTGTTTGATCATTTCGCAAGATCAAACAATGAGATTATGTGTGATCATCATGTCATGAGTCAAAACAAAGTTGCGCCTCTTCCCCATTATCACTGACGTTTATTATGATTTTGGTTTAGTTTGCATCACCTAATTTATTAATAACTGTCGTTAACTTATGAACAGTCAACTCAGTAATACCAATAGTGACAGCACAGGTTTCTCCCACAGAAAGTGATAGCTCAGTACGATCCGGAGAGAAGTGTCAGAGTGTACGTCTTCTCCTTTAAACGGAACGAGGGTCTATTTCAAGACAAGCTGGATAAGTTAGCTTGTCTTTATAATGGGGTTTACAAGAAGATTCTCTACTTTGGACAGATTGGAAATGCTCTTCAAAACATCGTACAGGTATGATACACATCATACAATATAACTTTACACATCATACAATATATCATACATTATACTGTGTCTGATCTTTGATGTAACCTAAAAATTTAATTTTTAAATTTTAAAGATCTCCAGGAAATAAATCAGCTGAATAATTTTAGATCACTCATCAGAGTAATAATAATGTTAATAAATTCATGACAACTTAGCCTGCTATAAGATTAAATCCCTATTGAGCTCTACGCATTTACAACTTCTTCGATGACAACTTAATTTTGATTTTGGTGAATTTGGCAGAATCAAAGTATGAAAGTATTTCAAACGTTCAGAATTTACAATAATTATGTGACATTAATTTCTTTGTATTTGACTGTCAAATGAAGTCAGCATGAATCATGATTACAATCATTGCTCTTTGACAGTAACGGTTCGCTCAATTCTCAGAATTCATAAATATGAGGAATTTAGCCGGAATTTTAACTTCCTCCAAGATTTTCGCAGAGATAAGCCAAACTTTCGTAAGATCGTTTAAAGGAAGGGCTCCGTCTAGAAAGAAATATAATTTCCATAACCAAATGATATTGTTGTCTACTACATAAATGGGCAGACTCTGATCACGAGTCTGTAGCTATACAGGACCTCCGGTTTTCGTGAAAGAATCTAATTTAAACTATAGTTAGATTATAACCTTTACATTGTCTATACCTCTCCAAACGTAAGAATTAATTCAAGATGACAGTGACTGTTACTTCTGATCATAAAATCAAAATAAAATGTGGTAGCTGTAGCTGCGGTTGGTATTACTGCAACATTCTCCGATATCTCATCAAAATCGTGAAAATTTTCTGCACATAATTCTGAATTCATAAGTTTTCATAGAACAACTGTTAAACGTTATTCAAACAAGTTGTTTAGATCGAACGTTAGAGCCGTTACCAAAGACCTATTTAAATTTTTAAATCGATTCTATATTCATAGAATTTGGTATTTCCATTTACAGAATTAAGGCCGGTAAATGAAATGATTAGAGGACCAAGGCTCTAACTTTTAGCACAGCTTCCAGTCAATTTGAAGGAATAATTGTCCCGCGTAAATTTCTGCAGACAATTTACTTATAGCGATTATACTAATTAGGACAGCTGAGTCTGCACTCATTTATTTGTGGATGCAGAACTTTGCAAATTACTCCCAAAATATCAACCCAATGCCAAAAGTGTATTATTGCAACCACTCCACCATCATCAGACCTCCATTCTACTGCATGACGACGGTTCACCCAACCATGTGCTTTCGCGCCACTGCGTGACGCACTTGTTTCCCCCGAATGGCGGGCGCCACTGCAAGCGCAAGGGCTCTCATGGTTAGAGCAATGACGACAGTATGATTATTTCACTGCACTAGTCGAAAGAGAGCTTTTATGCAGAGTTTTATCCACGCAACTATAACTCTGTTAAACCTACTGTTACACCTACTGTTACACCTACTGTTACACCTACTGTTAGTGTTACACCTACTGTTAGTGTTACACCTACTGTTACAGCTACTGTCACACTCACTGTTACATCTACTGTTAGTGTTACACCTACTGTTACACCTACTGTTAGTGTTACACCTACTGTTAGTGTTACACCTACTGTTACACCTACTGTCACACTCACTGTTACATCTACTGTCACACTCACTGTTACACCTACTGTTAGTGTTACACCTACTGTTACAGCTACTGTCACACTCACTGTTACACTTGATGTTACACTCGATGTTACACTCAATGTTACACCTACTGTCACACTCACTGTCACACATCTTGATCTTGATGTTACACTCGATGTTACACTCGATGTTACACTCGATGTTACACCTACTGTTAGTGTTACACCTACCATGTTACACCTTCCATGTTACACCTACTGTACTCTATAATGTCCTTACAGGCGGAGACGATGCACCTTTATAATGAGGAGATAAGACCCACGTGGAGTAACGTTTACAAGGACCTGAATGGATTTGGTTTTGTAGTCACGGTTACTCTGCCAGTAGTGGTAGCCACCTCCCTCAGCGAGAGAATCGTCACTGAAATAGAGTTCAAGAACAGTGTCTCTTTTCTTGGTATGTATCGCAGGGTATTTTATCACTTTACGGTAGAGCCCTGATTTTATGAGTTTTCTTAGGCCGGAAACTTAACATTCCCCTTTCCGGAGAAGTAGACTTCTTGGGCACTTCTTCTTCAACAATTTTCAGATCTTTTAAGCTTCCGTTAGTGTTTCTTTCATTAATTTTAGTTATAAGACTCACAACTATAATGAATGCAGAATTGTCGCTGAAACTCGTTCTTAGTACCTTTACTAATATCCAGTGATAATTAAGTCACATTAAATCAGAGTTCTACTTCTAATCTTCTATCAAATAAGATTACTCTAAATTTGCAGCTCATTAACCATTAGTCACCAGTGTTAATTTCAGTATAATCCCTAATAGTTAGACCCAAGAGGATGATTATAATAAAATCAAAACATAGTTACCAGAATTAGAATCACACATCGTACATTACTTACCACTATTTACGTTATTTACGTTATCTAACCACCGGGACGGTTGAGAGGGCTTAGAAAAATAATTATTTTTACCATTGTTAGTAGCAGACCGTGTATCTGAATATGGACATTTTACAATTTCATGAGCCATCTTAACAAAGAACAAGGGCTAAAAAATTTAAAATAGACATCTGAAAGCTAAATACATTCACAGGTGTAGTTGGTCTAGACTTTAAAACAGACGCCATTATAACAAAAGCAAGCAGCACCCTCCCCTTGAACACCGCTCTGATTCTCATCAATAATAAAGGGTACCCCATACACCACGATAAACTTGAGGAGTATGCCTGGAGCGATGTAACCACAAAACTTCAGGACTTTCAGTACAGTGCTGAGGGCAAGGAGGTGAGTTTCGTGCATTAAAACACATTAAATATATAATTGTTTTAAGTTTCCTGGAGTTCAATTTTAATTTTAAATTCTTACATTGGCGATCAGGGCTCGACCGAGATCTTCACAAGGGCTTAACCAAGATCCCGACCCCTGCCTCGGGGCCTCCCCTACCACCGGCGGCAACTATCGAGAATTATTCTACATTTTTACCAGAACGTTAGCCTTGCTTAATGAGGGGATAATCTCTTTGATTGCACCTTTTTACATTATATCCCTGCTGTTTCAGGATCTGCGCTTGCTAGAAGAGAAAATGATGCAACAGGAGCATGCCACTGTGAAGACCCGGGGTCTCTTCAGTGTCCAGTCCAAAATAAGAGGCTCCAACACCATACAGGTCAGTTTTCTGTCAATCAATGAGATATGCGCCTCTCAAATGACTACTCAGTCGTACAGTTTAGTCGGTTTTCTGTGTTTGAAATACCACTGATTGAGAGAGACGAATGAGCTCATTTAGGGATTTCTTTACGCGACCATAGTACAAAGAAAACATCTGTTTTCTGATGTTTAGCTGGGTGAGTGTAACCACCCAGTCTGTCCTAAGATATATCTTCCTTTTTGAAGTTAGCAGTAAAAACCAAGACAGGTTCCACTAAGGGTAACGGAAATTGCAGTGCCGGATAAGGACTATGTATCCCTGCAGGGTTACCCTTAGTGACATTAGCAACCACTCAGACTATGACATTAGCTGATGAATGCACGTCCAACTTGTTGTCACCGAGATTCATGTTCTTTCAGGATATAACATACCAAACTGCTAAAGTGGAAGGGACCCCCTTCAGTCTGGCTATCAGCTACACCGACTATCCTGTGGAATACAGGGTAGTGGATACCCCCACCATCTCTCTCAGCCAAATTAGACGCCGATTAGAGACTGGCGGGACAATTATGGGATCCTTACAAAACTACACAAGTTCAGCTGTAATGAGTCTCAGGTTATTCACAGGTTGTTGAGGGGTATGGATACCGATCATATCAACGATGAGTTTAAGTTTGAGAGGAGCTCTTACTGTAATACCAAAATATTCTCAGTGCTCACCGATTTGATTATTTCCGACCAATTCAGGGAATCTTTCCTCAAATCTCCAGATCTGAACATTCTAGGGAGATACGTTATAACGTATAATGGGCTGGTTTTCTTCGACAACAAACAGTGGAACTCAACTGATAGATCAGATCTTAAATCGTTGTCACCGTTTGCAAAGGTCATGAAGAACTTGACTGATGTGACGTACTATGTAGGATTACCAACTAAAAGGGGTTGTTTCGATTTTGAAACTATCAATGTCACACAAAAAATTATAGTAGGAGGAAAACTGGTTGCTGCAGCAGGATTCGAGATGGAGTTGGATAGTTTTAAAGAGAATGTGTTCAGATCGACTCGAGCGGATCCAAACCTCGAATCTGAGATTTCTCTAGTTGATGAGAATGGGTATATGATTGCTGAAGATCCATCTCAGAGGACCAGCAAGTTTCTTGGAGAGGAGCACCCTTACCTGCTACAAGAACTGATAAAAATAGGCGTTTACACCAAGAAGACACACGTAGAGTGCATCAGAGAGTGCGCGAACGCTTCCAAATTACAAACTCCAACCCCCGTCCCCACTTCCAGTGCCTCACATCCCCTCTCCATCCTCTCCAAGAGTCTCAGAACTATAACCCTCTTAATACACATCCTCTGGCACGCATTCCTCTTCACCCTCGTTAAACCTCAGACCCACTATGAGTACAACACCAGTCTACTCTCTGAACAGCATCAGGACAGAATCAGGGCAGTGGAGTGTTGTCAGGAGTTCACCCACTACGAGAGAGACTTCTCTGTCTCTATAAACGTGGCATTGTCCATACCCCGGCAGTGTGATTGTGGCACCTCCTACACTGTCAGTCCCATCCCCGAGACTAATCTCTTATCTTTAAAGAGAGGAACTAACCCTTACTGTGGATGTAGAACACAATCTGTGAGTTTGAGTCAGGGAAGAGAGACTATTGTTTATCAGATGTGTTATAATTCCACATATCAGCATCGGTTTAGACCCTCTAAGACTTGTATTCTCGATCAGGGGACTTTCACTGCACCCGGGTGCAGTAGTTCAGGAGATATAACTTTTAGTACCATTCACAGTCAATATTTCACACTCTTAACACTGTTTTATTTGCTTGCGTTTTAAATAATATAGGGTTTTATCATTGTTTCGAAATGGAAAACTGTTGTACATATTTACACTATTGATAATTAAAAACAAAAAAAATAAAAGGGTTTTTGTTTCGCTAAAAACTTCACATGGTGACTATAAACTAAAAAACAATACTGCTAATTCTAACTGAAATAGAAGTAATATGGCTCTCTTTGTCTTTCAAGACATTCTAGTCTTAAAAATCATATTTATATTTTTTCATGAATCATGATGGTGGTACTGGTAACAAAGGTTCGTGGTTTAAGTTGAGATCGTTCAAAATACTGTCGATTTGTTTCCTTTTCCTTCTAAAAATGAAGGACCAGGAAGTTAAGATGAGGAAGATGAGCATTAAAAGGGCCCAGAAGGTAGCCTCAGTTCTCCGATAAAGCACCGCGCACACAGCCGACAACATGGCACTGGCTAGAGAAATAACCAGGAGCACTTTACAACAGTTCTCCTGTTCCAGAACATTCTCCGTTTTGATCCACAGAGTTCGGAGGCACGACATCGCATCGGGGGCTGACCCTACTTCGGAGTTATCCCACCTTTGATTAGGTCTGATTGTTATATCACCTGGCGATAAAAGATCGTCACCACCTGGTGATGTAAAGTCTACAGGACACCTAGCTAGAATATCCAGCTGCTCCTCTGAGAAGTGAGATAGGTGGGCTCCCAGCCAACAGACGATACTCCCTCTCCGAGCCTTTTCGTGGCGACTCAGTATACATTTTCCTGGGGATATAGTGGTTTCAGACGTCTCCGGATGGAGGTGTCAGACGTGTCTCGTGTCATAATCAGTCGCTTTGTCAGGGTTCGCTTGTCTACTTGTTGCTGATCTGTGACATGGTGAAGTTCAGACCCGTTACTACACTTGGCACGCGACTTAAAACCAATTATCAACTTAGTCGGATCAGTCATGTCTTGTCAACATTATCCAGGAAATACAAGGGTTCTCGAACCTAAATATTCTGATATCACGTTATCCGATACAACAAGTGCACGTTTTGGGGCAATAATTCATAGCACATCTTCTAAACAAAGACTTGCAGTTGACACAGCACCCCACCCCGGCTAGTGCTGCTGGGGCGGTCATAACCAGCAGAATGACCCCCGCACAAAGGAGCACATACACTAAATACACAACATGTGGGGACATGTTGAAGGAGAAGGTGAAGGGGAGGAGAACTATCCCGACTGAAGTCATTATACAGGACACCACAAACCAGCCGTTCGGAACCATCAGGTTGTTGAACCGCTCGTGTCGGCTCTTCTTGAAGAGACGCATGGTTATGTGAGGTTTTGTGATACCTTTTAGCGGGGGGACTGTGACAGTTTCCATGGGGACCTCCCCACTAAAACTCACCCTTTCTGATTCATCATCGAATTGGACAGTAGGGTTTTTTGTGATTTCATTTTGGTCAGCCTGGAGTTCCTTTTCAGTTTGTAAGTCTGTTTGACTGTCTTTTTGTGTTGGTGTGTCGAGATGTGTATTATTGTCCTCCTGATCTGTAAGAATAACATTCAAAATAAGATAATTAATAAAAGTGGAAAATGTAACAGAGTTACCGTTTATGTTGAGTTACAGGGAGGGAGGGGGTAGTAGAATGGGAGAGATATCAAAATGGAAGGGATGCAATTTAAAACATTCATACCTTCATGTTGAGGCTGTTCCAAATTTGAGTTGTTAATTCCGGTTAAGACTAATTGCCCATGAAACCCAAACAATCGACATTTAGCCATTAGCAAAGTATGGTACCCAAAACAACCGTGTCTCAATTCAAAACATATTTTATTAACACACTTTGTCGTTCACTAAACCCAAATATTCATTTTAAACATAACCTCCATCAATGTGCCCTATTTCTATATTGGTATTACAAACTTACAAACATGGCTGGGGAAAATTTAACGGAGACGTGATTGGAAACGAAAATAACATGCCACAGGGTAGGAGGGGTAACAGAGTAGGATTGTAACAAAGTGGGGGGAGGGGGTTAACAGAGTGGGAGAGGTAATAGAGTGGGGGGTAACAGAGTGGGAGAGGTAATAGAGTGGGGGGTAACAGAGTGGGAGAGGTAATAGAGCGGGGGTAACAGAGTGGGAGAGGTAATAGAGTGGGAGAGGTAATAGAGTGGGGGGTGACAGAGTGTGAGAGGTAATAGAGTGGGGGGGGTAACAGAGTGGGAGAGGTAATAGAGTGGGGGTAACAGAGTGAGGGGGGGTAACAGAGTGGGAGTAACAGAGTGGGGGTAACAGAGTGGGGGTAACAGAGTGGGGGTAACAGAGTGGGGGTAACAGAGTGGGGGTAACAGAGTGGGGGTAACAGAGTGGGGGTAACAGAGTGGGGGTAACAGAGTGGGGGTAACAGAGTGGGGGTAACAAAGTGGGGGTAACAGAGTGGGGGGGGGGGGGGGGGGGGTAACAGAGTGGGAGGATGACAGAGTGGGGGTAACAGAGTGGGGGTAACAGAGTGGGAGAGGTAATAGAGTGGCGGGGATAACAGAGTGGGAGAGGTAATAGAGTGGGGGTAACAGAGTGGGGGGGTGTAACAGAGTGGGAGTAACAGAGTGGGGGTAACAGAGTGGGGGTAACAGAGTGGGGGTAACAGAGTGGGAGGATGACAGAGTGGGGATAACAGAGTGGGGGTAACAGAGTGGGGGTAACAGAGTGGGAGGATGACAGAGTGGGAGGGGGTAACAGAGTGGGAGTAACAGAGTGGGGGTAACAGAGTGGGGGAGGGGTAACAAAGTGGGAGGATGACAGAGTGGGGGGGGGGGGGGTAACAGAGTGGTAGGTAAAGGTAACAGGGTTAGAGGTTTTACCTGAGGATACGGCATGTTCGTACGATGGTGGAGCCTCGCTCCCTCTTGGCCCGTCAATTTCTTCCATTTGTTATGTTATTCATTAAAGATCAACATGCACATCCAGTCTTTACACAATTTTACATAGCTTTTATTCTACAGTGTACAATATGTTGTAAATTAAAATATTTTTCATCAAAACAATATGGCCTATTTGTGATGCAGGCTCAACGCAAGGGGTCAAAATGACAACTTTCGTCAAAATGAGAAATGTCATGCATTCCGCATCAACGATCAAAACATACCGATCAAAACAAATCAGACAGCGCTGGTGGATACAAATTTCATCAAAATATCTAAAGGTAAGATAATAGTGGTGGCAGCATGCAGCGCGGTGTCATGCAAAAACTACACTATAGAGCGCCCTGAACACCAGCTAGCACTGCAAGGAACCATCAATACTGTTTAAAAGACAAGACCACGTGACTAACAAACAGTTAACGAGAATATAAGAAACTAAATAGCAGTCAGCTGTATCAATCAACAGTGTCTCAATATATTTTCACAAGCAAGCCAAGTAATAAATTAGATTACTATACATGCTATTTCTGGCGAGTATATGTATTTGAAGAGCTGTCAAAATGTACTATATGCGGTCTATAACCACTGTCCACGGGATAAAAGGAAGCGTCAAGAAAGCTCAAATAGTGAATATCACACGATCACACCTGCGATGCGAGTGAGCTGGTTCCGGTGTGATTATCACACTGAGAAAGTGTGACGATCACATGTAAATGTTACACTGTGACAGCTTAAACCCTTCCACTTCCCACTGATAACTTTCATCAGACAGAGTTAATGTGACAAATAATCCTGAGAGACAGTACCTGACCCGTATTAGATTGCTCAACTGCCCAATGTCCCAATTTAATAATGGAAAATAACCCTGAAAATAGTAGTTTTCTAGACTTTTTTAGGTTCATTGTTTCCCCTTATCGAATTAATTGCTTTGGCATTGTTTAAAGGTAGCCTTCTCAGTGTAGATATGCAGGCAAGTTCAGGTAAGACGTGAGGGAATTCGCAATTTCATTGTCTTCACTTACAGGTGTTAATCAATAAGGTTATGAAATGTTATTATCATGTCGTTATAGTTGGGAATCACTACAGTACTACAGTGATATAAAATGTGGCCCTGCATTAGAGTTGAAACTGTAAACGTAGTCTAGCAGTTAACATTAACTAACCAGTAACCATTTATTATTACGGCCCGATTATCAGGTCCATTCTTTCCACCCCGTATAGTTAAAACCAGGAAGCCTCATTCCAGCACTTCTTGCTCATATCGTGGGTACAGGAATTATCATAATGGGATTTTGACACAGGTACCCGATCTCGAATTTCATCGCACCATCCTGTGGTTGGCATTGCACCATACTCAACCAAGAAGATTCCTCAGTCCGTGGCTGCTGATTTTATTACAATATATTCAACCTGGCTGCTGCGTTACAACAAGGGTGAAGCGCATTATCTCCACTGAACTGGGGTTTAAAATCTACCTGACCTCGGTGGCTGGATGCCAACTATTGGGTAGAGGAGATCTGACTGGGTTGAGGAGAGAGGGGCCCGGTGTGGACTCATCGCGCCTGCCTGCCCTTCTCTGTGATACCGGGGCGCCAGTCTCCCCTCTGCGACCCGGGCAGGGGGCCCCCTGTGCAAGAGGCGCCGGGCAGAGTGTGCAGCCGAGTCTCCCTGTCGCCTCTCAGCTTAAATAGTCACACTATATCACTTCAGTGCTGCACAAATCCACTATGTTCTGCTTAGTTCTACTCGTTCACTTCGCGAGCCTGCTCGCTGCATCTACCATTATCGACACGTCCCAGATTGGAGATACTGCCCCACAATTCGGAAGGATACCTCGTCAACCTGGGTGTTTCTGCCTCAGATCCTCGCTCCACAACCACATGTGTAGAGACGATTTCGGTGAGTTGTTATTGCGTCAAAACTTTGCTTTGTTACTTTGTATCTTTATTTTGCGGTTAGGGCCGTTATTGCGTCATGGTCTTTATTGATTGTAGGTCGTCATCAGGGAAGTCGCACTAGGGTGGGAAAGTTGCTAAAATAGAGATGACAATTTCTAAGTTTAACAAACAGTCACAATCACAACCTGAAGCTGCTACTTTGTTTTGTTTCTACCCCATTAGATTACTTTGTGAATCTGCAGCACCGCCACAGTCATTAGCTTTTCCACTTCTGTTTCAGCTTTTAACTTCTATTGTAGTTTTTACTACTTCTTCTTTTTGCCCATGAATCCTTGAAATAGTCACAAGATCCACCTCTCAACAGAGTCACTAGCATTTGGTCATCCTAAAGCCCTCCTCTCTTTTGTCTCCACAAACAACAACCTAACAGTGAGTGGGCGAGGAATGTTGGAATGAACATGAGTGAGGTGTTTTAGCACTCCTCCGGTTACCAGCGGCCGTCAGAACAGCTGTCAGCCAGCTGGTTAGTGAGGTATGTGAGTGAGGTATGTGAGTTAGACCTGGTGGTGGTAAAGTATCCCCTGTAGACAGGAAGGTGTCAACAGTAGTAGGTTCACATTCCTCTCACAGCTCCACAGCTAACCCCGACACTGCTCCGGAGCTAACCCCGACACAGGCGTGTCAGCCTCAACTCTAGATCTCCCCGCTCATACCCGACATATGATACCACATTTTCTCGCGAGCTAGGCTTGTGCCACGACTATTACGATGCTAATTATATTGGATTATTTTTATCACAGCTTAAATCCCGCACAGATCGTGGCAGGCCATGCCAGTTTCAGATTGAACGCAGACCCGCCTAGCTAGACCCGTCGTACAGCTAGACCTGTACAGGATAATGAGGCTGTTAACTTCTACTTCTTTAACTTTTTCTCCCACTATTCAGCAATATTATTTCCTCTCCGGAGCCGATGGAGTTGGCGCCTATAATCTGCGGCAGCAGACTTTTTGTAGGTGTTAAATTTATCCAGAGCGAATATTTGTAATAGCAATGTAACCGTGATGTCTGCAGCATGTCGAATTATTAACATATGTAACACGATCGTGGCACCAGGCCTAAATAGGACAATCACGAGCACTCAAGTATTCAATTCGAACTTCAAGCATCCGTCATCAAGTATATCTTGGGAAGATTTCATCAAGGATATCTTGGGAATTATATTTTGTGTTTCCGCTCATGTACTGTCGGGCAAACAACCAGACTATTTGAGTTAAAGACCAGTGAAAACAGTGACCACCAAGAATCTTACAGCTCTATATTTAGCAACTAATCTTTCCGGTTCAATTAATTCAACAATCCTTCTCTTTCAATGTCCCCTGCGAATTAAAAATCGAATATTCTACCAACAAGCACAACAACTTGTGTCTACTATTGACCCTCCTACCCTTCCCACCTCCATGTAGTGTGTGACACAAGTGTTTAAAGAACTCAGAAGTGTTACCACTGACACGACCAAACAGTGATCTCTTTCCAAGTTTACTCTATTTGTGTTCCGTTAATTCGGCCTGTAACTGGGAGGCTGTATCCTTTGAGGGGCGCCATGTATCTTCCTTCATGTTGCGTGCTTGTACACTAACTTAGCATCAGCCTACCTGGCTCTCTTCTTGTCAAGTTTTAGTGTGAACAATGATAATAAATTAGTGTGGATTCTTTGTTCAAATTCCGGATCCAGGCTGACTAGCTCAAGTAGTGGATACTTGTGTCACCCTACCAAGTACCAGCGCTGTTATTGTAGTATTGTGGCTGGATCTGCCTAATTAAATGATGATATGTCATCCCACAGCCCCTCATTTGCATAATTTGAAAGCAAGCAAAACTCCACCCTCCTGGAATTTCAGAAGATCCCCCAGCTTACAGTCTCCAAGACCGGAAAGTATTTTAACCTGCCTGACTGACTGGGTTGAAGGCGTGCTAGTGTTCCTCTGCTTAGATTTAGTAAAAAATTCAGCCACCTTGACAAGAATTAACAGAGGAGATTAGTATCTAGTGTAATCGTTATTACAAGGATAAGCATACCCGGCCTTTGTGGGCCGGTCACCATGCACTCCCATAACTTTTGTCGCAATATTCATAAAAGAACACGTTTTGTTTTCCTTTTGAAATAGGCGACCGTAAATGAGGATTGCTCTATTTTTGGCAGAAATCCTATCACTGTCCGATCCCGCCAAAATCTTTATCAAGCCCGCCAAAATCTGTACCATAATTACTCCCACTTCGAACAGTTACTTCACCTCTCAGTGAATAGACAGTCACTTCACATCATGTTGAAGAACTCCCAGTGAATAGACAGTCATTTAACCTTATTTCGACTCTCGGTGACAGAAAAACGGCCGTTTTAATTAGCATTTTTGCAATATGCCGTCACTACCAGGTTCCCAGGATTTGTTATGTAATTTGACCAATGCCACCGGCGTGAAGATCCCTGGCTTCAGTAGGAGTCCTGACGTAACGAGGCATTTATTTTAATGTCTTTTTATTCATTAAATGAGAGCTGATGTCCGTGTATAGCGCCATTACTGAGGTATATTAATTGGGGGGGAGGTATTTGAGGGGGGTTGTCATCTAGTTGGAGAGTGATTAATCTGGTGCTAGGCTGACAGGTGATGGTGCCGGCAGATCGTGGAGCCTTGCACCTCACACACTCTCTCTCTCTCTCTCTCTCACCTTTCTGTCATGCTAAACTGTGTAGCCAGTCTCGCGTCGTCCTGACTATCCCACACAACACTATCTGTGAAAGTAGCAGCAGATGGCTGGCCATGTTGTTTCTCACCAACCTCCCGGAGAGACCAGTGCTCACTCGACCGCGGAGCTGACTCCCCGAGATACGGCACTCTGCCACCTGCGACTAAAGACTTGTCATGAATTGCCAATTACCTGTCATTGAGCCACCCTCCCCGGCCACACTGCCCAATCTCCTGTCAAACAATTTAACCGCGAGCATTCCAATTTGAGCCCATCTCACTGGCTCGCTTGTATCCAGGATTCTATCCTGGATTGCTCAATCACGTAGTCACTAGCTCTTCACAACTTCTCGATATAACTTTTAACCGTATTAATCATTTCAGTTATCAAAGCGAAGATCCTTGACGATAGCATGGGACGAGGACATCGACGTGCGCTTCATGGCTACCAGGTAATAACTCCCACCTTTCTTCCCACATTAGTAACTAGAGACTTATAACCCCGTTACAGGGGACCTCACTCTCCACTCCAGATACCAAGCCATATCCGGCTGATCCGAGCCATATCCCCGACAGTTACCGACTAATATCCAGATATTAGGTACACCTAGCACTGAGATATAAGCCTGTTAGTGTCAATAAGGGGGTGATCTAGTCTTGTAGTAATGAAAAGGTAACCTGTTAGTGTCGGGGAGTGGGGAAATGAAAGCGTGACAACCCCTCTTTACCTTCACTTAGCGGACTGATCCTTACTTAGCGGCCTGATCATACTTTTTAGAGTCAAGGTTTATTGAGTGACGTAGCCCGGAAAGAGCCTCAGGTTGAAATCAACGGCCAACTATTTGAGAGCAAGCATGACCCTTCTTTCTACTTATACCGGCCAAATATTTGAGAGCAAGCATGACCCTTCTCAATTCCATACCAAAGATCTCCATAATTCCATTGCAATGTGGATCACATACTGTAGAATTGTGAACAGGGCGTCTCCAATAAACCGCATGTGAGTTTAAAAGCAGATTTGGCGGAGCTGTCTGGGGCTGAAGCGTGCAAAATAGGAGGGAATGGTGTCTGTTTCCCACCGTCTACAAGTCTACCTTCTACCGCACCCCACATTTCAACATTGCCATCTCAATATTGCCATATTGCCATACACGAGGGCATAATTGTTTCTCATTTGTAGCTATACTAAAGGAAACAGAAATGTTACAAATGTAAAAAAAGTAAAATATACTGTGGTTTCAATTTCCAGGAGTTCAAAGGATTGATATCATTATCAGTTCTTCTAACTTTCTAATCTCACTCCATAGTCTCTATATTTGGGACCAAAATAACGATTACCATAATTTACCACAACTCTACTTATGAACTTTATTCTGGGTCTATTCTAATCATTGTTGAGACTTTACAAAATGTTGAGAGCATACTAGTACTACACCGTAGAAATAACACTCCATCACTTCAGATTCTAGTAAAAGAGATATTCCACCTGCCGGACGGAGACAATCTAAAGGCAGGAGATAGAGTTGCCCTGTACACTCCAGCTAACGAGGACTTCTGCGGTACCTCGTTCGTCAGGAGAAACACTTATCTTCTGTCTGGGAGAATAGTTGACACTATCCTTGTTGTGGTGAGTTTCCTATTTTCAGTATTTCCGCTCACATCAATAAGCCAATTAACAACAATACTAATACTATTCACTAACCCTTTAAATTGAATTTTTGGGACTTCTTTTTCCAATTTGATACTTCCGATCTAGATGAAAGTAACACCTGACTCCTTTTCAGACCTCTTGCGACTACTCTAGAAAGTGGTCGACCATCACCACCTCAATACAACGTACCCTGAACGCCCTGCCCAACAAGCGACACTGCTCCTGCAAGGTGTTCGGATGTAACGGGGAAGTTTGCGGAGGCGTCGAGAGTGGGGAGGCGTTCAGCGTGTTCGAGACCAGCAGATGTTTCACCAAGAGGGACACCCTCCAAGAGAGGTAAGCAGGAAAACTTGAAAGTATTAAAAAATCATCACATTCGCAGTGCTAGCTGACAAGAATTAGCAACAACATTTACTTGCTATTTCTATATTAATATGAACTTTAAAACCCGATAAGTAAATTTTGGGGATTATTATTAAGCATGTCGCACATTTTTTGGATGTTTGACGTTTTCACTACGGCAGGTGTTATGAAGACTACGGTGAGTGTCGTATGAGCAACAGAGGAACCTGCTCCTGGAGATCACAGAGAAAACCAAAGGTGTGCATGAATGTGGCGAGGCGGAGAATGAGAAATACTTGAGCTCATATTATCTTATTATATCTAGAGAACCACATCGAGTGAAGATATGACTTACGAAGATTTAGGAGAAGTGTGACACATCCGTACTCAGCTGAAAACGAAGAGGAGAAGAAGATTTCGACCCAACCTTGAAAACAAAAGACTTTGCTCTTGCAATCCTTAGAACTAGCACTGTGAAGATATCAGACAGATATGTTATTTTTCACAGATTTATTCTGAATTGATTGTGTTTTGTAAATTCCCGAGATTTTCTGGCTTGCTCCTGTTTTAAGGTGCGCCAATGCTAGTTTTAATGCTAGTAAATGCTAGTAGTAAATAACAATGTTATTTTATTCTCACATCCATTTAGGGTGAAGGGTCAAATTATGCAACGTGTTAGTCAGAGATTAATTTGCCATTCTTTTTAGAATCTTAAACGATAAATAAAATGTCACGACACTTATTGAACTATTGTTCAATTTAAAATTGAGGCCAGATAAACATTAGATTATATTAAAGCATTGCCTTTAATACCATAAAACAATCCTCGGTTCAAAATCATTTTTCATAAAAAAACGTCCGTTCTTCCACTGATAATCAGCGAGCTATGTGCTGAACTGACAGTATTTAGCTTATTAGAATAGAGCTATAGAAGTAGTGCATATTGTTGTGATATGAGACTTAAAGTCATTATTTATTGACCAGAGAGCTCAGCTCAGGTGTTGAGATGTTTAGATAAAAATTGTTGAATTGTAAATACTTTGGAATCAATGTTATCAGTTTCAAATTCAGATTATTCAGATCAGCGTTTTATTTATTTTGTCACTTTTATTCGATAATTTATTTCATATATTAGTATATTGAGAAGTATTACTATCAACCTTCTCATCGGCCCATAATATGGCACACTTTGAATACATATCTGAACGTTAAACGTAGTGGGAACTGATAATGAAATTGATAGACAGGGTATCTCAAATTAAGGCTTCTTCTGCACTCACAATTAAAATGATACGCACAAATTGGGCCAAGAATCCTGGGTGAAGGTCAAAAGTCCTGAGCCTGGGGCCAAAGTGATAAAGATTTTGAAATTTCAAGGACCCCAAGAGGCTGAATTAATTGATAGTTACCCACTTTTATGTCATCTCTGCCGCCATCTTAATAAGGTCTCTGCACAGGCCTCCTCTTCAATGTTATTGTTAGTGCTGAAGTTGTAGGGGCAATGTGGTAACAAATGATCAGCCAGGAAGAGTCACAGTTCCGGAGGATCTTTGACTAATCCCAATTCGGGAAAACGACTGTGCTGAATATGAAACTGAAATAACTCACATCATTGGAAAAAACATACTATTCCTGGTGATTTAACAGAATTATTTGATATATAAGCATCTTTTTAAACTTTCATTTTCTCGATCGTGTCTTGTGGCTGTGCCATTTTCAGTGACAAAAAAATTTTCATTCAAAAAAAATTCAGTCAAAACAGTGAAATTTGGGTCGCGGAGCTTGGAGCTGAGAGCTGAAATTCGAATTTTTCCTACCGGTAGGACATATTCAAAATATTTATTTCATCATTGCATCAAAGTTTTCTCCGGATATACTGCCTTCAGTACCTTGACGGCGACTTGTGTCAATCTCACCGACCTCACTAATTTCGGTCAAGGGACGGCAGAAAAGCTCCTTTTAAAAAGGATGATAATTAATCACTCTACAGTCGACTGTCACGTGACAAAAACGCCGTGATTTCATTGGTTAACCTAATAACGCGCCGCAGATCTCTATAAACACAAATTATTCATCGCGCGTGCAGTAAACTCAAATTAAGTCCTAATTTGTTACCGAAATTTGGCAACAATCAACATCATGGCACAATTAAGTCACGTGCCCAGTAAATTGCTAATCAAATGTACGGCACTTATACAGTCTACAGTGTATGAATTCATGAACAACTTTCAAAACTTAACCACAAAACCGACTCTGAGCACTATTTCTAGGTTCTGAAACGACTAAATGATGCAAATTATAAATCCTCAGAGCTGATCCCACTCTACATTAAAAACACTTTCCAACTACAAAACTTAACCACAAAACCGACTCTGAGCACTATTTCTAGGTTCTGAAACGACTAAATGATGCAAATTATAAATCCTCAGAGCTGATCCCACTCTACATTAAAAACACTTTCCAACTACAAAACTTAACCACAAAACCAGCTCTGACCACTATTTCTAGGTTCTGAAACGACTAAATGATGCAAATTATAAATCCTCAGAGCTGATCCCACTCTACATGAAAAACACTTTCCAACTACAAAACTTAACCACAAAACCAGCTCTGACCACTATTTCTAGGTTCTCAAACGACTAAATGATGCAAATTATAAATCCTCAGAGCTGATCCCACTCTACATTAAAAACAGTTTCCAACTACAAAACTTAACCACAAAACCAGCTTTTAGCACTATTTCTAGGTTCTGAAACGTCTAAATGATGCGAATTATAAATCCTCAGAGCTGATCCCACTCTACATTAAAAACACTTTCCAACTACAAAACTTAACCACAAAACCAGCTTTGAGCACTATTTCTAGGTTCTCAAACGACTAAATGATGCGAATTATAAATCCTCAGAGCTGATCCCACTCTACATTAAAAACACTTTCCAACTACAAAACTTAACCACAAAACCAGCTCTGACCACTATTTCTAGGTTCTGAAACGACTAAATGATGCGAATTATAAATCCTCAGAGCTGATCCCACTCTACATTAAAAACACTTTCCAACTACAAAACTTAACCACAAAACCGACTCTGACCACTATTTCTAGGTTCTGAAACGTCTAAATGATACGAATTATAAATCCTCAGAGCTGATCCCACTCTACATTAAAAACACTTTCCAACTACAAAACTTAACCACAAAACCGACTCTGAGCACTATTTCTAGGTTCTGAAACGACTAAATGATGCAAATTATAAATCCTCAGAGCTGATCCCACTCTACATTAAAAACACTTTCCAACTACAAAACTTAACCACAAAACCAGCTCTGACCACTATTTCTAGGTTCTGAAACGACTAAATGATGCAAATTATAAATCCTCAGAGCTGATCCCACTCTACATTAAAAACACTTTCCAACTACAAAACTTAACCACAAAACCAGCTCTGACCACTATTTCTAGGTTCTGAAACGACTAAATGATGCGAATTATAAATCCTCAGAGCTGATCCCACTCTACATTAAAAACACTTTCCAACTACAAAACTTAACCACAAAACCGACTCTGAGCACTATTTCTAGGTTCTGAAACGACTAAATGATGCAAATTATAAATCCTCAGAGCTGATCCCACTCTACATTAAAAACACTTTCCAACTACAAAACTTAACCACAAAACCAGCTTTTAGCACTATTTCTAGGTTCTGAAACGTCTAAATGATGCGAATTATAAATCCTCAGAGCTGATCCCACTCTACATGAAAAACACTTTCCAACTACAAAACTTAACCACAAAACCAGCTCTGACCACTATTTCTAGGTTCTCAAACGACTAAATGATACGAATTATAAATCCTCAGAGCTGATCCCACTCTACATTAAAAACACTTTCCAACTACAAAACTTAACCACAAAACCAGCTCTGACCACTATTTCTAGGTTCTGAAACGACTAAATGATGCAAATTATAAATCCTCAGAGCTGATCCCACTCTACATGAAAAACACTTTCCAACTACAAAACTTAACCACAAAACCAGCTCTGACCACTATTTCTAGGTTCTCAAACGACTAAATGATGCAAATTATAAATCCTCAGAGCTGATCCCACTCTACATTAAAAACACTTTCCAACTACAAAACTTAACCACAAAACCGACTCTGAGCACTATTTCTAGGTTCTGAAACGACTAAATGATGCAAATTATAAATCCTCAGAGCTGATCCCACTCTACATTAAAAACACTTTCCAACTACAAAACTTAACCACAAAACCAGCTCTGACCACTATTTCTAGGTTCTGAAACGACTAAATGATGCAAATTATAAATCCTCAGAGCTGATCCCACTCTACATGAAAAACACTTTCCAACTACAAAACTTAACCACAAAACCAGCTCTGACCACTATTTCTAGGTTCTGAAACGTCTAAATGATACGAATTATAAATCCTCAGAGCTGATCCCACTCTACATTAAAAACACTTTCCAACTACAAAACTTAACCACAAAACCGACTCTGAGCACTATTTCTAGGTTCTGAAACGACTAAATGATGCAAATTATAAATCCTCAGAGCTGATCCCACTCTACATTAAAAACACTTTCCAACTACAAAACTTAACCACAAAACCAGCTCTGACCACTATTTCTAGGTTCTGAAACGACTAAATGATGCAAATTATAAATCCTCAGAGCTGATCCCACTCTACATTAAAAACACTTTCCAACTACAAAACTTAACCACAAAACCAGCTCTGACCACTATTTCTAGGTTCTGAAACGACTAAATGATGCGAATTATAAATCCTCAGAGCTGATCCCACTCTACATTAAAAACACTTTCCAACTACAAAACTTAACCACAAAACCGACTCTGAGCACTATTTCTAGGTTCTGAAACGACTAAATGATGCGAATTATAAATCCTCAGAGCTGATCCCACTCTACATTAAAAACACTTTCCAACTACAAAACTTAACCACAAAACCAGCTCTGACCACTATTTCTAGGTTCTGAAACGACTAAATGATGCAAATTATAAATCCTCAGAGCTGATCCCACTCTACATTAAAAACACTTTCCAACTAAAAAACTTAACCACAAAACCAGCTCTGACCACTATTTCTAGGTTCTGAAACGACTAAATGATGCAAATTATAAATCCTCAGAGCTGATCCCACTCTACATTAAAAACACTTTCCAACTACAAAACTTAACCACAAAACCAGCTCTGACCACTATTTCTAGGTTCTCAAACGACTAAATGATGCAAATTATAAATCCTCAGAGCTGATCCCACTCTACATTAAAAACACTTTCCAACTACAAAACTTAACCACAAAACCAGCTCTGACCACTATTTCTAGGTTCTGAAACGACTAAATGATGCAAATTATAAATCCTCAGAGCTGATGCCACTCTACATTAAAAACACTTTCCAACTACAAAACTTAACCACAAAACCAGCTCTGACCACTATTTCTAGGTTCTGAAACGACTAAATGATGCAAATTATAAATCCTCAGAGCTGATCCCACTCTACATTAAAAACACTTTCCAACTACAAAACTTAACCACAAAACCAGCTCTGACCACTATTTCTAGGTTCTGAAACGACTAAATGATGCAAATTATAAATCCTCAGAGCTGATCCCACTCTACATGAAAAACACTTTCCAACTACAAAACTTAACCACAAAACCAGCTCTGACCACTATTTCTAGGTTCTCAAACGACTAAATGATGCAAATTATAAATCCTCAGAGCTGATCCCACTCTACATTAAAAACAGTTTCCAACTACAAAACTTAACCACAAAACCAGCTTTTAGCACTATTTCTAGGTTCTGAAACGTCTAAATGATGCGAATTATAAATCCTCAGAGCTGATCCCACTCTACATTAAAAACACTTTCCAACTACAAAACTTAACCACAAAACCAGCTTTGAGCACTATTTCTAGGTTCTCAAACGACTAAATGATGCGAATTATAAATCCTCAGAGCTGATCCCACTCTACATTAAAAACACTTTCCAACTAAAAAACTTAACCACAAAACCAGCTCTGACCACTATTTCTAG